CGAAATCTATCTCCGGACATTCACTTCACCTCTAACGCAACACACATATCCCACATAGAATCCATGTCCCTCGCAAGACAAACTCGCCTTCGGCCCCATCCCATTGCCTCTTCCGACACTCGCCAGACGTACTCAACGGCGCGGCCCCCTTCATCCTCAACTAAGTTGTGTCTTAGACCCCAAAACTGTGCGGTTCTCCTAAATTGATCGACTATCATCAACTTCATATTGGAGCCTGACATCGGGAGACTACAGTTCTCCCATGAGCATTCGTGGAGGAGGCAGAAGGGTCTCGTTTACGTTCGTCACGCAGTCGCAAGGGCTTTGGCTCCAGTTTGACTTCATGCCTTTATGCGCGCTCTTACCTACGAGCTTTGGCACGTCTTGAAGAGATTGCCATCCACGTTACACAAATGTACATATATATGATTAGTGATTAACTTATTTTCCGCGGTGAAAAGTTAGAAATGAGGTGGTTCAAGCCCCTTCAACTCGGAGCCCTTTCTCCACATATCCCGGACTCTGTGTTGCAATAAATAAGTCGTCACGGATGTAGAGGCATCCGACACACCATATTCACTACCGAAAGCTTCTCAATATCATCCCCGGAATCCGTTGCGAACTCTTTCTTCGTGTCGATCTTGATTGAGATGTTCTGCCGTTGCTAAACATTACGTCGATACAGCGTAAGAATGGAATCACGACGAAACCCACCTGGCTAGACGAAAAATCACTGGCATGGCCTCTTCCCAATGATTGAAGGGATACGCTGACGTTTTCCATTGCACTAGTGTTTTGAATCCCATCAGACAGCTCACGAAGCTTCTTCCGCGCGTTAAGCGTGGCCAGGAGAGAGTTTGTGTAGACTATTTTGGGTATCATGAGCGAACTGTTTGCAGCGAAGTGACAAGGCTGATCTTACGACGTCCTATGCAGAAGTAAAATGCGATGTAGATGAACGTTGTCGGCCAGGCAAGAATCTGGAAATGAAGGCACCTTACATTTTTTTTAAAAAAAGGAAGAAAAGAGAACGTGCAGAAACCAGGGATCCTAATGCACAAACACTGTATGAGATTGATTAGATTTGTTACGAAGTGACTCAATAGATATACCTTGTGAGAAGACCCGTATTCACGGAGAAGATTATCTGTGCGTGTTCGCCTCAGCGATGACAAATGAGGAAGAAGAACGAGCACGCACGAGTTTTGTAATGATCGTATCCGATCTGGGTTGGAGGATTAGTTTCCGCTCGGGTGGCGAGAAATTTGATCACACCGATGGAAACCAGTGCGAGAGCGATACAGGATCGTGCACAGAGACCCCGCGATGAAAACGTCACCAATTGCCGCTAGAGAATTAACTGATAGAGATAGCCCCTAAATCACGTTGGAGCCATTAAGATAAAAACGATTGGAATAAGATTCACCTTTAAGCGTGTGACTTCAGAGAAGGTGTGGAACTGTAGCCTGTGTTTTCCGGTCACCACAAGTTGGGCAGGTGGGGAAACGGCGGACGCACGATATGATTGTATAAGCTATTTTTTTCTGTTCGGTGAGCAACTGAATTATAATAGAAGGGCGCATTGGCGGACCTAAAATGGCTCCTGCAGCGGAAGCGGGTTGAAATAGCTTCAAGAGGAGGAACTAATAATGACAAACCGAACTCCCCCACAATGAGTAAAACCTGGGATGCTGTGAGCCAAGGTACCACGTGGGATACTTCAAAATCAGGACATACGATGATAGCGATGAGCCATCCTTTTCGATCGCTTACTATAAACTTATTGAGAATTAGTCCGAAGGAAATGACCGTAAAAACAACACACGTCGCCAAATGCGCGATGCCAGGAAACTATTAAGGTACAAATCTTAGTGAAGGAATCGGAACGAGACGATGTAGTGGCCTCACCATTGAACCATGAACGCTGTCAATCCCTATCATAAAATTGAGCATGAAGGTTTTAAAAAATTAGTAGCGATTGGGAGACGCACGCTAAACAGAACTTGAACCACCAGCGTTCTATACCCAGAGTCGGTAAGCGGGTGTGGAGGATAGGAGCATAAGACTATGTACCGAGGGATTTCGCCAAGGAAACTCTGATTGCCCCAATTCGTGATGGTATATGCGTAAACTATAAGGGAATAGTCAACGAAAGGCATAAGCGATAAAGTAGGTATGTCTGTACCGGTATGAGATATAAGGGCTTGATGTATCGTGTCGGAAACCATTACGGCCGCAACCTATGCGAAGTGAGCACCATGTATGTGAGATAAGAGCATCTGAAACCAATTTTTACCAGAGTCTTGAGGGGCCATCGGTCGCTTTGGTGTGTGAAGTAGTACCAGGCTTGAATGCAAGAAACTGGGAGAGTTCTGTCAGTTTTTTAAATAAACGGAGGATGGGAAATGGAAGACCTCCAAAAAGACTATGGAGTAGTTAATCTGAGAGAGCTGTTACAAGGATACCATGAATGCTCACCATCCAGAGACCACAACTCCGATAAAAGCTGCACCCAAGCTACATTGGAGAGAGTTTGAGGGATTGATGATACCGAAGCGAATGACACTCACGTATCGTTGAGAACGATCTGTGCGGCGTCTGCCATGCCCAGAAATTCAAAAAAGCGTGGTAAAAAATGAACGTGGGATGGGCGACGGAGAATTGAGCTCAAGCTTTTATATCTGCGTTTCGTGATGGCTGTTAAATTCTCATGATCTGTCTTGGCCGATTCCATTAGGCGGAGTTCAATCTCGTCGATGCCATCAAGGAATTTGTATCTGATGACGTCAGGTGATCGTTTCGCAAACTAATTTAGGACGTACAGCCAGCGTTTTTGGTTTTCAAATGGAAAAAGATTTTCCCTGCTTCACAAGCCTTCATTCTCGAGGTGCATTGCCGAAATTTGGGCCCCAGCACAGTAATGACCGAGCTCGGCAAATAAGAGGATATATACATATCAACTCCAAGGAGATAAATAAGGTCCAGTACATAGCTTGTATTTCAAGTTTGGTTCTTTCTGCAAACGAGCTACTTCCCTCTCGATTCCTTTTGAGATAGAAAAGAAACTTTTGATATGATTAGCCTGAGGTCCGGCGGATGTCTAGTGACAGTGCTTACTGGGAGGGCACCGCTCGAATATTTCTACGTGTTGCGTACTTATTTGTCTTGGATGGGATAAGGACATGTTGACGGATCTTGATTCAATTTAGCGAGTACCCACTCGGAGGCGTAATATGATCAATCAATGCTAGTTAATTCACTGAACCCTGCTTACAGTTATTGCGGTTCAAGCTGTTTCAAGCCATGCCACGGCCTCGCAAGCCTTTGGAGGCCCTTTACGATGATCGCGATCGAACCTTTCACGTGCTCAAGAATGGACGGCATTCGGCAATTTACCTTTTGGCCGATTTGCAAATTCAGATCCTTGAGATGATGGTTGAGGCTTCAAAAAAATTGAGGACATCTCTGAATTCGAAAGTGCGGCGATCATTGTGCGGCAGATCTGTGCGGCGATCCGGGTCACGTGTTTGTTGGCCAAACAATAGAGACGCGTCAACACAAGTACAAGATACAAGCGCGACGCGTTTACCTTGCTCGCTCAGCCGCAAACTTCGTAGCTTTCAACTTTAAACATATTATATTAATGTAACTACACATTCCGGTGAAGGAACGGGAAGATGGGGAGCACAGTGTCACGGAACTGCAGCTATAATGTGGCTGACCAGTAACAGTTGCCCCTGCCCCGAGCGTGACCCAGCGGCTCTCGCAGCACCCTCAATCTCTGTCAACAGTTGTCAGTACCTCCCACCCTGCTGTCACTGTGAATGGGCTGGGTGGTGGAAAGATAATCAGAAGGTGGGTCCGGACGCCAGGACCGATGATACTCACGACACGTCAGTGGTTACAACTGTCATCACACATAGATATTAGAACTTTGATTTGTAATAATTTTTTCGAGCTCGAGGGCATTGTCAGGCATGCGCGTGAGGCTTCGTAAAGCAGTAGAATTTTATTAGAATGGTGAGGATGTTGAGCAGAAGTCCCGTGACATGCTCGGCGGAAGTTCCCGCCGCACCTGTTGCCGCACAGTGCGGCGGTTTTTTAGCCGCACTTTCGAATTCAGAGATTTTCTGAAAAAATTGAGGACCCAATTCGCTTTCTGCGTCAGATAAGTAGAAGGGTTGAGAAGCATATCGGTCAGCAGTGTGATTGAAATGTTCGGCGCAAAAGTTGTCAAGTCAACGACGGCGGCGCTCATCTCCACCTCTCTTTGATAACAGCCGCTTCTCCCTACGCCCCACACTGCTTCCGACCTTCCCCTTATAACACCGCGATCGATCATGCACGAGGGTAATTAACCGAGAAATAGCCATTCGTCAGCGGATATATATATATAGACAGCACTTCTTCAAACTGTTCGCAATTTCAACTCGATGGAAACGTAGTAAAGAAGAGACGTTTGTTAAAAGACATCGCTTTGGCACCAACGCACACGCTATCTTGAAGAATCGAAGGTGTGCGTAGTCGTCATCCCGATTTCTTCTCAGAGGTAGCTACCGAATCGAAACAATCTAATCTACATGTCAGCTTTGTCCAGCTTCATGTGTTTCCGCATTTTACCCGAGGTTTCATGCCTGCATACCCTTCACACTGGGGCGATTTCAAGAAAATTTAAATCGCAGCAGTCACACATTTGTTGGTGCTTTGAGACAAAATTTTCTGTCTTGAGGCTGGACGTTGCAATAAGCTGTCGAGGGTCCGTCCTGCCGCCATTGCCGTCGATGTGACGGAGTCTAAATCGTCGGGATCTTCCGAGATAACTCAACGCAAACTCAACGAACTCATGTACATATAACACGATCGGTTTTTTGCAAGCACTTCTGCGACTTCTAATTACTCCCTCATTGATCCTTCTTCAACCGACCATTCTAATAATCCGGCCGATCATGTTCTGGTGGGACAATCCTTCAACGCAACATAAAACGCCACCTCAAGTGCACCTCCTCTCTCTCTCTCTTCCTCATCCCACCTACTTCAAGTCTGCGCCGCCAGCGTGTTACGCTTGACTTCTTTTGTGTAACTCAATGGACTTAATACGTGCTGTCTCAACAAACTCGTGCGAAGCTTTTTACTCTCCCTTCAATTGACTGATGCACCCACAGATATGATCGGGGGGATCTCTCTTTCATTATCATTTCTGGGGCGATGGTCTCTTTTATGATACCTGGGCTGGGTGTGTAATCTCAAGTCGTCAGTGAACCACATCATCTCAATATTCCACAAGCCTTTCTTTATTCCGGCCTGTCCCGGCGCAAAAGTGCTCGTGCGTTATGTAGCCACTCAAAATAATTGTCGTTCCTAACACGCTGAACCAGTTTCACTGATATGGGCTGTATCGGCAAGTAACGCTGTCGTCGTCTTCCAGTGGTTCCTTTGGGGTTATTCCTTGGGTTTTTCACCCACCGCCACCAGTGGTTTTATTGGAAACCTAAGAAATTTCGGCCTCATGAAAGTATTGGGAGAACCATCTCCGGGAACACCGCTGCTCCCCGACATCCTATACAGTTTTTTTCAGATGGAGTTTGCTTGCGTCACGGCAGGCATTTTAGTAGGGGGAGTCGCTGAGCGTGGCAGAGTCATGCCTGCATCAGCAAAACCTGGGTGAGCTAGGCAGCACGTGGCAGGGCTGTGTAGTGCCATAGCACCATAGAAAGGGGTATCACCTTTACAGTCACCTGCACGTTCTATGCAGCTCTACATAGAAACGCACAGCCACTACACAGCACTCCCTAGAATCTCAGAGCAGATCTGCAGCCATTCATAGAAACACATAGCCACTTCATAGTGCTCCCTAGAATTACGGAGCAGATCTGCAGCCCTCAGTAGCAACCCCTGGGGTCTGCAGATTCCTAGAGGGGGGGCATACATTCTGCTCATTTTAATACCATATTGCATGATTTTTACACAGAACTTGTGTTACGAAAAAATAAGTTTATTGTCTGCACTACTACATTATACAAGATATCCTAATATTCTACATAGTAATGACTGCAGTATATCAAATTTATGGAATAAGAGACCGTCCATCTTTCATCAACAGAGGGAGGATGCCATTCGCTAACAAGGAAGGGAGGACGGTTGTTCGTCAAGGGACGGAGCCATTCTTCAAAGGAGGGAGGACGCCATTCGTCGACAAGGGAGGGAGGACGCCGTTCTTCAAGGGAGGGAGCCGTTCATCAATGAGGTAGGGAGGACACCGTTCGTCGACAACAGAGGGAAGATGCGTTTGTCGACAAGCGAGGGAAGACGCCGTTCTTCAAGGCAGGGGGAACACCATTTATCAACGAGAGAGGGAGGACGCCGTTTGTCAACGAGGGAGGGAGGACACCATTCGTCGAGGGAGAAACGCCGTCAGTCAAGAAGGGACGGAGGATGCCGTTCGTCGACGAGTGAGGGAGCAGTTCGTCAAGGGAGGACACTGTTCATCGGGGGAGCCGTTTGTCGAGGGAGGGGGGCTGTTTGTCAAGAGGGAGCCTTTCGTCAAGGGAGGGAGCCGTTTGCCGAGAGAGGGAGCCATTCGTTGAGGGAGGAGTCGTTTGTCGACGAGGGAGCCGTTCGTCGATGAGGGAGGGATCTTTTCTTTAAGGGAGGAAGCCATTCTTCACGGGAGCGAGCTGTTCTTCAAGGGAGGCAGGGAGCCATTCTTCAAGGGGGGGAGGAAGCCGTTCTTCAAGAGAGGGAGGATGCTGTTCTTCAAGGGAGGGAGGACACCGTTCATGGACGAGGGAGGACACCGTTCGTCGAGGGACGCGGTTCGTCAACGAGGGAGGGAGGATGCTGTAACTCGACGAGGGAGGACACCGTTTGTCGAGGACAAGTTGAACATTGTGGGAAGGAAGAACAATGAATTTCCGTGTTGGGAAATTCAAAAGTTCAACATAATCACATGATGTCGGAGTTTCAACGGACTTAAAACGAATTGTCTCGCGACTTGAAGTTGTTTGTCGCCTGTCACTGTCTTTCACAGAAAGCATGACATTCGAGATGGGCATACACAATTGTAGATGGCACCATGTAATCAAGCAAATATAAAGTTCATATGGAAAATTATTGAACAATTCCGAGCCTCCATGAAATTGC